GGGGGTTTCATTCATTTGTTGAATTAATATGAATTATATCTAAAAAACTTAATATTATTTTTCTTTGAATTCTCGAGATCTATATTGCTTTGATATTGTGTTTGAAATATCACTATTTATTATTGAAAACCATAAAAAAAAACATTTCCTGTATTCAAATATATGCATTCAGCAGATTTTAGTGCATAAAGAAATTTAGTATACAAACGAACACAAATTTTAAATATTATCTTTTATTTGACAGGAACACTATTTAAACATTATGTATTTGCAAAGTGTCTGATTACGGATATAAAGAGACAATGCAATGTGTACATACAAACATGAATCTCAATTTATTTTAGATTCTTTTTTTTTCAGATAAAATATAATGATATCGCACCATATATTACATTTAATCAGACACACGAGTCAATATGATATTAGATTCTACACTCATTTGTTCAATGTCACTGACAATATTATATTGCCTATTGCCCTGTTTTATTCGCTGACAAATTGTATTATAAATTGTATAATGCTATTAAAGAACCGTAAATCTCTACCCATGTATACATATTTAAATCAACCATTTATCGTAGATAAATCTGTGACACTTCTTTATGCTACAAGTGTTGTATGGAGATATGCTCGACATGGTTTACTATTTCAATGATTGTAAATGATGTTAATTCTTTGATATCACTGACGGTTTGGTTTTATTCCAATTCGGACGAAAAAGGAGTATATTTTTGTAAAGTGTTTTTGATTGTAAGGTTAGATTTAGGTTTTGCACGCGCGAATTAATGCTACTGACAAACACATTTAAGTACATGTACTTAAATAAATTGATGTGATTTTGATTTAACATATCTTTAATCAGTTTTGGGATCAATCTTACATGTAATTTTTTCTACATTTTGTTTCAGATTGTCAATGACTACACCTAATAGGGTTTAATATGTTATACGTACATGGTGAATTAACCTGTTCAAAATAATCTACCTGACTGCAACTGATTGTAATTGACAGTGCAAAATCCTTGCTGAAGGTAACAAGAGATTAATAAAACTAATGATTTCATACTGGTCAATATAAGGTTCAACGTTTGCCATAAATAAATTATTAATCTTGCCGGAACAATGACCGCTGTACATTCATCAGTTCATCCGAAAACCTGTAAGCTGCCGTGGGGAACCATTCTAAAACCAGAGTTTGGATTAGGTTACCAAAAAATGAATGAGTATGAAATCGACCAGACGGTCAACAGATTGAGTCAACTACCCGCGCCTAAAACAAGACCTTACTCTCGGGTTGGTAAACAGATGGATCAGGATGAAATTAATGAAATGGTTTGTATAATAATTGTTTTCAGAGATATATTCACTTAGTATCATTTTATAGACATTTCAAAAATGACCAATTGATATATGATTTGACTTGCATTTTACATAAACACTTTATAACACTTTTTAATCAATATGCTGTTCGCATACGATTTATTAATAAACTTATGTTCTGTTCTGTTCTATAACAATTCAGAAACTCATATGTTAAACTTAGCCACCTTCTTAACTCTTGATTTTTTCATTGTGTATTATTATTAAGACCAACGTTAGTTTTATGTCTTTCCAAATTTGCAGCTTGAAAGACTTACGAAAGTGAAAAAAGAGAAAATTCCCGACCACGATAGAAGAATGACGTCATCACCTTACAGACAAATGGGCGTGGTTAATTCATACGCTTGGAAAGGATTCAATTGATGCTATATTATCGAAAATAATTTTAAAAAGTTGAGAAAACTCTTCTGTTGATATGACACAAAAAAGTCGTTGTCAGGAGTTGAAGATCTAGTTATATATACAGATGTGGTATCTTTTTTTTTTTTATTGATTTTTGGATATCGTTTTAAGCCACAATATATTCACTTCTGATAAAAAGACTTTCTAAGGTAAAACAATAAATACCAAGTTTAGATTTTTAATTTTAATGCATACATCTTGAAATCTTTCAATATTATAATTGTTTAGGGTTTTATCAATCATAAACTGTATAGATCACAGCCACCATACGCATTATGTCTTCATTATTGGTGCAGAATATTACAGCTTCTAAAACATTTTTTCCAAGGTTATATAGGTTATCATTATACAGAATACCGTTTGAACCGGTGCTAGGGGGCATGAAAGATGTATACTATTACCTCTTTTCAGAAGACTTAATAAAAGCGAGTCTCCAATTTTCTACTACATGCATCTGTTTGTGTTTTCATATCTCACGCGGGATCTTCCCCTTTTTCATTTTTTTACGTTTAATCATAATCGCTTAGTAATTTATGTAAATATTGTATACATGTTTGGCACAATTATCCCTTTGGAGATGTATTTTCGGTCACTGTTTACACTTTTTTTGTGATTTTATTTCATTATATTTGTTGTTTCAAATAAATATATCAAGCATGTCAAATCAGCAGATTTTACTATACTTCATATGAAGTTTATTGATGTTCATCACAAAATGATTAAGACCTTAACTTAAATCTTGAAAAAAATGCCTTTTAAGGAATTCTGCCAAATAAAATTTTATACACATTATTTTTTAGAAACTTGTCACTGCACTATGAAAATCTGTTGTGTATACAGTAAACTTCACTTAAAGCGAACACGGTTATAGCGAACATTTGCCCTTCTTTATTTAATATAAAATATACGGTTATAGCGAACCCGGTTATAAGGAATTATCGACTCATCATGCATATACGAGTATATGATTAAATATTTTTAAAAAAAAATGTTAAGGCATTTAAGAACAGAACACGAATTTTACCATTTCGCTCCTCATCCATTACATAAGTATACATTATTGTGTCAAAGTCAAACAATAAAATAAAATATACAGTACAAACGTAGCACTGAATTTATTTGTTGGCAGTAGCTTTTAATTGTTTGTACGTAGTTGTTAAGATAGAACGAGCATTTTAAGAGTTATTTCCAATATAGATGTTTAGACCATTTGTTTTATAACCATTTTATGCAGAAATATATGATATGAAAATATTAATGTTTGTTTAGACTTATAAAATATCTGACATGTCATTTTGTATAAATTCTCTCAATATGAGTCCATTGACTAATGACTTATTGACTAAAAATGTCCGGACTCGCAGTGCCTGAAAGTGCGGATGGACCCTTATTTAACTTAGAAATCACGCCATTAACTAGTGAAGATGCGATTTTATTGATTCAAAAACAGCATAACGACCAATTTGGATATCTAAACCTACTGATTTTAAGCATATATATTAGACTATATAAATATCTATTCCCTTAAAGTGTTTTATTTGAGATAGATGAATTCAATTGACCTTTTGTGTTTTTCAATGTGGTGAGATTATATTTTAGTTGTAAGATAGTTGTAACATTCCGGTCCTGCACCTCTATCCACGAATACAGCTGATGGCATACGTCGAAAACGATGGGTGAAAAAGTGGGTATATAAACATTTATATGTTTATAAGTATTTACACAATTTTTTACATATCTATTATATCATATAATGGATAAGATAGGCTAACCAGCTGAACGAAAAGTTAATCCAAAGTCAGTTTATGTATGGCTTTATGTAATATTGGATTATAGCGGGACTTTAACTGTGTAACCACATATCATTTCTGCTGTATCTGCGAGATTGAACATTAAAATTCGTAAAACTTTATAGCGGCCTTCCGCTTTTAAAATATTATTTTTAGATAAATCGTTTCATATAATTGACAAATAAAATAAAGTGGACAAGGTTAGCTTTTAAAAAAGCTAGTAGCGACTCGCTTAGTAATTTCTTTCCAGGGGTGTGTTTAAATGTTAAAATGACAGTTCTGTTAGCTGAAGAGACTTCAGCGAACATCAAAATAAAAATGACATATAAAGTTATGGAAGCCATTTCTCTCAGTTTAACAAAGAGGAATATGAGTATATATGAAGATGTATGTAAACAGATAGAATGAAGTCCCTATGTCTGTGCACATTTACTATATGGCTTGTTGACCTTGACCAGAAAAAAATAGATAAGTAGAATTCATAAAGATGTCTCTTAAAACGAAGTTAAGTTGTAATATGTTATTTAGTATTGGAATGAGTGACAGACACAAGTCCTAAAGTAAACACAAACTGTCAATCAATTCAGCCAGAAAAGCCGGGATCCTATTAAAAAATAGGATCCCGGAAATTGACCAGTTCAAGAATATAGTTTTCAGAAAAGCGGGGATCGTATTAAAATATAAAGAGATCCCAGGAATTGGCCGGTTCAAAATATTGTTTTCAGAAAAGCTGGGATCTTATTAAAACATATAGGGATCCCGGGATTTGACCAATTCAAGAATATAGTCTTTGATTTTTCCAATTAATTAGACATATAATTATAATTATTGTGATTTTGTTAATAAATAACTCTTAATATATCTTTATCCTAAGTTAAACTAATTTAACGTTCATAACATACAATAAAAAAACTTAACGTTTAATGGCCTTTCATTACGACAATAATCAACACAAATATGGTTTATTAGTTTTTTCCTCTATATCTTACACGATCGCGTATCTCGGGCGTCCCGGATCCCGGCCAGTAAATACATACACTAAATACCGGAAAGAAATGACCGGAAAAAAGAAAAAAATGCACAGAACCAGATGTCGTTTATGTTAATTAACCAAACGAAAACTTGCTACAGAGAAAAGAAGACTGGTGAAATCGCTAAATCAAAAGTCAGTGTAAATATGATTTATTGAAAAGAATCCATGAAAATAAACATTTTAATCATCATTATATCTTTGCGCTCAAAACAATACTTGCTGCTTTTTAAAAATGGCGTGAAAATTGAAGGTTTTTTGACGCTATGTAAGATCAAATTTGATTGGCTAAATAATTTTGGATCCTAGCCCTGATAGATAAATTTTGTAGAAAGCTGGAAGCCAAGCTTCGATTAAATTTTTGGATGGATTCGGAGTTTTAGGTTGTTTCTCAGTAAAATCCTAACGTAATACCGGCTCGCCGTGGCGAGCCGGCAAAATGAAATTTGGCGCCGATAAAGTACATAAACAATAAGTTATAGTTGTAAGTGCCGTTTGCAATGTGCTCTTTCCACAATATTTTACTTTTAAATACAGTTTTTTTAATGTTCATGAAAATTAGCATGGATCTGGAGGTATGCTGCTTTGCCATAAGCAAGAAGTCGTAATGAAGATTGCAGCTTCGAACTTATGATTTTAACAATATTCCACGTGTCAAAGTATATTTAAAATGGCCTCGTATTTAATATATAATATACTTAAGGACAATGAAAACGCACGCCCGCATTATATGCATTTTGTTACATGAAAACAAAACATTTATGACTCCATTAGATATATATCATAACTTTAATGCAAAACGCAAACTTAACAACTGAAAATAATTCAAAATGTTTAAAATCAAATGTACACCAGTAAATCGAAGAACCTTAGGTGAAAATCCCAAAATCACACTTTTTCATCACAGTAATGCAAACTTAAAAAAGGCAAAAAATGAAAATCCAAAACAAAGTCACTCATAAATGTCTATTCGTAATGTCACCGTCGGGATCTTTAGAAACGACAATATCCTCCATCAGCGTCTCTTAACAGATGTACATCGTCGCCTCATAGACCTTACGGTGCGGATAGTCGCCTGTGGAATCTGACGCCATTCAGCCTGTAGTGTAGTGCGAAAACGCTGGTGAAGCCGAGAAATTGTAGACCGACGGACACCAAAACGGTTGGCGCTTTGATAATACAAAATTTGATTGTAAGATAGACCAGACTGAATCTCTCCTAAATCTACCCAGCGGTTAATTATTTGTACAATTTGATAAAAGTATTCAATAGTGTTTGAAATAAAGCACCTTTTATAGAGAAAAGTGTGTATATGCAATTTCAATGTGAGCTTTACGATTTCTAAAACTGACCATTGGCATAGTTTGATATTCATTTTCATAAAAAATTGAATTGCTCATTTGTGTCTAACATTTATGGAAAGGTGTGCAAAAACAACAAGTTAATAATTAACAGTTTAAGTAATAGAAAGAGCACCGAAACACGAGGCTATCTGATTTGTACGAGGGGGCGTAGCCCCCGAGTATAAATCAGATTGCCGAGTGTTTTGGTGTTCTTTCTCTTTTGTATCATAGTCAAACATGACAGCACGTTCCTTGTTGTCATAATATGAAACCCCAGAAAAAATTAACCAATGAACGAGCATTTGAATATGATAGTTCTGCCCCTTTCCCTTTCTCTGCCGTCACAATATGTAAACCCCGGCAAAAATGAACCAATCCACGGGCATTATCTGGAGTGCGGGTAACTGATACCTGCACTCCAGTTACCGCACTGTGCATGTATATGTATACGATTTAACTCTGACACTTTTTCAACAGAAAGGTCCCCAAACTATGATACAAGAAATAAATAATTTCAATTCATAAAGTAACCATGAATTGATTAAATCTGTTTTCTGTTGTGGTCTTATCACAATTAGCCAAAAGTGTTACTTTTGATTTTTCGGGTACTGTTTTTATCATGCAATAACTTCATTAAAATGCAATCATTTTTCATAACTTTGGTATCTAAATGACCGGAATGCATTTGGTTTTATGGAACTGTTAAAAAATACTAACAGGAAATATATTTTCCTTGTTTAAACGCAAATATTCCGACCGTGCGTTTTCATTGTCCTTAAGTATAAGTGTGTTATTTTAGAGATTACTTTGCAAAATGATTATATTCACTGAGGTATCTACGAGTATGTATGAACTTTTCTACTCAAAGAACCTTTAGTTAATGCTGTAATTGACAAGTACAACAAAATCTCTTCTTTTCTTCAAAATAAAAATAATCAATGTAAGTAAAGTATAAACTTTGAACAATATATCTGCTTAAAACAGCATATTTTATTTTCTTTGAAAATTATAACAATGTTAATAACAATTAACACAAGTAAGTTAATTTATTTGCCACCTCCGAAACCGAACCCACACCTGCATCTGCCATCTACACAGTGCCATCCGTACCTACAATCATCTCCGGAACAGTCCGACTGTACACGGCAACCGCTCGATGACACTGAAATAAGTACATACAATTCATATAATGCATTAATTTTATCTAAAATTATATTACATAAATATGTGTAAACAACAACAACAACAACAAACTTTAAATAGTTGTACCATTCTACAACTTAAATCTGTGATATCTTTCAAATTTACATTTTCTATCTGGTCTGTAAGTAATTTTGACTGTTAACAATGAGCGATATTACACTTTACATAAGCAGTTTTCTTTACCATTCTAATAAAACTTTAAATGAGGTGATATTTTTGTCTGTTCAAAGGTGTAACGCGTCCCATAACATTTACCTTTGCTGCATGTGCACTGTCTGTTATGACATTCAAGTTGGTAATTGCTTTCTGGGCATGTCACGTGACCACAGTCACCCACAGATCTGCATTCCTCTGCGCTCGAGAGAGCTGCAAAAACAAGTGTATGATGCAGTCAACATATAGAGGATATTAAATGAGTGTAAGTTCAATACTGAATTTATTGCACGAGTTGAATAAAATTATATTATGCGAGCCTTTGGCTTTATTGCACGAGTTGAATAAAATTATATTATGCGAGCCTTTGGCGAGCATAATATTATTTTATTCAACGAGTGCAATAAATTCAGAATTGAACTTACACTCATTTAATATTCTATTTATCACATACCCAAAATAAAGACCGTTTAAAGTGAAATAAGAGTCATTTTTCATTGACGCGCCTATAGTATAACGCTAACATTTAGCGCGCCTTTACACTATGTTTGTATAACGTTAATGACGTCACGTCAAAATATATGCACGGCCGTGCAATACCATATTTACGGAGTCGTAAAATCGGCACGGGTGTGTGATAAATGTTTTTATGATTTGTATTGCAATACTGTAAATCAAAAATGATTTATAAAAAATGGTAAGTATGTAGCTAAGGTGGTGCAAGAGAAGTTGCACTTTTACATAATCTTTCATGAACCGACTCAAACTGTGTCTGTAATTTTCACAAAGTAGTGTTGTTTTCATTGATTCATGGGGATATCCCCTTTAGAAAACATCTTTAATGTACGAGATCGGTCTCTTCTTAAAATACCAAGGAACCGCGTGTATGCAATAGAAAACTAATTAGATGATATATGAAATGCACTCACCAAGAACAGCTACGAAAACAGCGCAACAAAGAACAGCTTTCATGTTGTCTCGATGGTAATCTAGATAAATTGAACACTGGTCAACCCTACTGATGACCATTCTTATATAGTAAACAAATCATGCTGGTCAAAGACATAGTCACGCCTCTGGTCAATTTACTTATCTAATGGACGAATCTGTAAATGTCAAATATCATGCTAACATTCGCCATTTTTGGAAATTATTATGTTTATGGGGGAAATAGTCATGACTTTTAATCACCGTTGAGTATAAAATAGAATATGATTATGAAAGTATTGATTAAAATAGAAAAATAATAAACGTTATACAATGTAGTTTTAGTCGTGTCGCGGAGATATAAAGAATGAGATTGAACTTTGTTGTGTTGTCATGTCAAACCTGGGTCAAAGGTTATAAAGAAATTATCCAGGCTCAAACTCAGATCTAAGGTACTTGATTGGTCATAATTTGCTACAGCATGTACACTAAAAATATGAAAATCCTGTGAATAAAGAAAGAACTCAAGAAAAAATGTTTTACAACCTCGAGAAACACCTAAAATATATGTATAATGTCTTCTCACCTTAGCGGACTGAAAAAAATGAAACCTTAGCGGACTGAAAAAAAATGAAGGCACAACGAAGGCTGATGCTCAAATTTTAAACAAATGTACAAAACCGAAATTTGTATTATATACTTAACTGCAAAACTTTTAATACTATTTGGCTATGTCATAAAAATTGAAATCACAAACAAATTAGATATTATTACCACTAATGTCTATGAGTGGGGGACATAACGCTTTCCTACATAAAATCATAAAACATTAGACCACTAGTATTTTAAATAAATCGCACGCAACAATATCACTATGTCAAATCTATTTGGCGATGCACAAAAAATGTTTTGCAGTATTATAATAAAAGACTAGGAAGGCATTGTGGATGCGATAGACCTATTTTCAGCTTAATAAAAAAAACCTCACAATTTTAAAACGAGAAATATTTTAATGTTTAATTAAGATTTTAATGTAATTGTTTCTCTCTGTCCTAAATTTAAGCTTAAACAATTTTCAAAATTTACGGACATTTCTTCCACATCACAAATTCTTTCCATAATTGGGATCACTTATCTTGAGATATAACGAGATTAAATGTCTGACCCGGTTATTAAATATATCATAACTAAACAGAGATTTGACCATATGTTAAGTCTTTATGTAACAGACTAGGTTTTATTCACTTATGCTCAGTTTAAGTTTGAAATCGTATTTTGAATAGAAACATATATCAATATGGTTGTTCTCTTTTGCGCTGAAGTGTATTCGTAGCTGCAACAGTCGCTTGACTTGTAGAAACGCTCCCTCCGCAGTAAACTGAATTCACTAAACTGTAAACGAGAATGTGAATGGTAATGGAGCATTCCACAGACGCTCAGAATAGTACCTTGTAGATGAAAATCTAAACAGTCGATTACGATGAGTAAAATGGCTTACTAACATTTAATATACACATAATAAATAATAAGTGATCATAAACTCAGTTTATTATTTTATTAAATATATATATATATATACAGAAATAATAGAATAAAAGGAATAATCGTTTTAAATTGGTGAAAAGAATTCATGCTAATAATTTCCTTCGTGGAAAACTATTACGTACTGCTGTATAAATTCATTTTCACGGCTGTATTGAAGTACATGCAACAATAAACGGTACATTCACCGACCAATGAAAACCAAAGTTTAAAATGCGAGATCTATTTACGGATAGCCGATATTTTGGAGTTCGTGATAAAAGTGTAATTTTCTTTAATTTTTAACTAAATTGGGGAAAAAAATGAGTTCCTTAAAAGCGATAATTCCTTATAACGGTGTTCGCTATAACAGTTTAATTTTATATTAAATAAAGAAGGGCAAAATCAATTGTTCCTTATAACCGGAAGTTCGCTATAACCGAGTTCGCTATAAGTGAAGTTTACTTATTGAATAGAGTATTAATTTGTGTTTTCAGCCCGAAGAATGGAGAACTGTCAGCGACTGTGAATTGTCCAGAAAACGACAGAGTGTCATTACAGGCAATGCAAATGCATGTATCTCCAAAATATGGTTGCATTTTTTTACAAATCATTACATACTTTTGTTGAAAAGTTAAGCTTGTCATGAAAAAAGTATTGATTATAAAGGTTAAGCTAGTAAGATGGAAGAGTAGGATTGGATCACATAAACGTAACGGTATTTCATAAAATATTACTTATTTCATTGTAGAAACATCATTATAGAAACAAATAACATGAAATGCCCAATATGCCTCAGAAATGCTTTTATTTTTCCCCGAAAGCTTTTTTTATTTTTGATGTCCTGTTAAAGTTTTCAAAATGATACTCATTGGCAAATTGCCTGTACCATCTTTTGTTTGTTTTGCTAATTGACAATAAGTACAGTGATTTCAGCATTTTGTATGGAAGTAAAAAAACTACTTTGCTTACATTTTGATACTTTTATGACAAATAATTTATACATTTAGCGCTTCTTTCATCAGGTGATAGGCATCTAATATTCTTTAAATCCATTATTTAAATGTTATAAAACTCATTGCCTTTTCTTAAGAATGGGAAAATATCGTTTCTGAGGCATATTGTGCCCTTATTTAGAATTTACCAGTTTTTCTTGCTTACATGTGGGCGTATTTGAATTCTTTCTTACATTTCAGTGACATCATCCTAAGGTTCAACAGTTTGCAAGTTTCCATTACACTATATGGAGGATCGGACTGTATATTCGAATGGCACTGCGGAGATATGACCGTGGCCAACGTGTGAAATATTCATGACATTGCTGCGACTTTGATTAATTACATACGTGCAATGTAAATGTTCATTCTTGTGTTTGTTTTAATGATATACTTAAAGGAGCTACACTTTGGTCTAGAGCCAAAAGAAACATAAAATCTGACATTCTCCCATTGATCAATTTAAATAATATGCAAAGAAATATACGTAGAAGTAAATAGAAAGATGACGGCCCCAAGTGAAACTGGAAAAAAAGAAATTTTATTGTTTAAACATTGCATTTTCGTTTCCACACAGATAACAATTTATACCTACCTATACGATAGATATACTCAAAAATGTCTTAGTTTAAACTTTATTTATTTAATAATTGTACATATAAACTACATTTACAAACATTTCACAACAAGGAAATCAGATTGGATTGGAAAACAAGTAAAACAATGCTTATATCAATTCCTCTCCAGTAAAGGTAAATTTTCTTAATAAAGATACAAAAATGTTACAGTTAGATGTTAGCTCTTATAATGTACAATGAAGAATAAAAGAATGCATGCATTTGTCTTTTAATCACTTGACATATGTCAAGAGCTGCATCGTATATTTTCAAAGCTAGCTCCAAAGTCACCTAATTAAGTTTTTCAATGTATGCCTTAATTAATGCGTCACCAAATAGATTATCGTTTGTCCTCACTGAACTCTCTGTGGTAATAATGTGTTCTTGCCTTTGCGTGTAAATGTTGAAAATGTCAATATGTCCCTTCCTTGGTTGTCTAGCATATATAAATTAAGTTGAAGTTTATTCAAAATGTTACCAATTCCTTAATTATTGATTAATTTGCATGTGTTAACAAAGTCAGATGGACACTGTTCTAATGTTATCTACGATTATTTACAGTATTCGAACAGGAATCTCAGCAAAAATATTTCTATAGGATTATTTTCCAAAGGTGGGCATCAAATTCCAATTGGTTGCAATCCGATGTAACTCAAACTAATTTGGATTTGTTTATCTGTGCGTGACTTTATATTTTTAATACAGCAATATATCGTTCCTGATCAGAAATAATGTAAGAAACGTTTTAATCGTATAAAACAATATTGTTTTCTGCGAGATATATTTCACTTACGGTTATTAATAATGAGTATCTGTTTGATTTGATATTTATGGAACGGACGAATCTATTATACGAAAAAAAATCAGTAATTCACTGAATGATACTAAACAGGTATGCAAGTCAATTTTGTAGTATTTATCACCATATTTATACTGCGGGACTTTTTGTATCTGTTAAGTTTTGATTGTCTTACAATGTACATACAATGTATATAGTATATCATGATTTTATGTTTACTTATTGTTTTTTTTTTATTTCCTCAAACTGCAATATACTGAGAAAACTGGAAACACTTAATTCATACCATGGTTCATACCATTAAATAGGATATAACAGTCGTATATAATATGTATAAGATAATGAAATAAGAAAAATAAGTATGAGAGAAAAGTGTGAAACCTTATAGGGTTAAGCGGACGATATTAATACATTGTATCTTATACAATAACGAAAATATACTTTCCACACTAATTATAGAGACCATCCTTTTCTAATACAATGGTTAATGTGTTTAAAGTTTTAGTGTTATGATAAATAATCTTAAGTTTATGTCAACAACGTTTGAACAGTTAAGGATTTTAAGTTATATCTAGAATCATATAATTAATAACTTATAATTAATGAAATAGTCACTCACCAAGCACAAGTACGAATGCAGAGCAACAAAGAATAATCTTCGTGTTGAGAGAATATAGATTCTTATTTAACACGTACGGACTCTCAAAAAGGGTCTTTCTTATATAGTCAGCATGTCATGATTCTAGCTGTTACGTGGCGATTGAGCATGTCTTAAAATGATTTGTCATAAAATCTGCTTTTTCATTCACATGTGCAGATAAGAAAGCCCATATCTAGAAAGAAATCGTGTTGTGAAAGAAATGATTCCGTTGCTTTTGAACATCATCGCAGCTTATTATGAAATATGTATGTCACGATTATATAAATAATTAAATATTGCCAAGTATCTATATCACTACATGGACTTCAAATTCTATTTTTTGATAGATACAATATCCTGTAACATTGTAAATTGTACCTCAATTAAGTGTATATCGAACTCACAAATTCTTTGTGGATAGAATAATGCTTTAATTAAATAGCCATCCGATCGCTACAGGTTTGATGCGTGACAGGCTATCGTCTTTCAACAATATTGAAACATTTTAAAGTAATTCATGTATAATATAATATTAATGGATCCAATTCATCTAAAACTGATGAACTATTTCTGAGTCCAGCATTACTAATGTA